GCAAGTGAAGATGTTGTTATACAGAAGGAGGAAATTGAAGATGTTGTTGGACAGAAGGAGGCAAGTGAAGATGTTGTTATACAGAATGAGGCAAGTGAAGATGATGTTGGACAGAAGGAGGCAAGTGAAAATGCTGTTGGACAGAATGATGATGATAGTTCTGATGATGATAGCTCTGATGATAGTAGCTTTTCGTATGGTAGTGCAAAGGAGGTTGTATTTGATGATGAAACTGATGAGTGTGATACTGACTTGGAAGAGGAAGAAGGTAAGGATGATGTAACTAATCTTTGTGAAACTGAAGCAAATAAAGAAGATAGTAAAGGAAGTGATAATGAAAGTGAGGATCTTGTAAGTGAATGTGATAGTGAAGATAGCAATACTACCAAGAGAAAGAAGTATCCCATTTTCAAGCTTCTAAAGGATATGTCCAATTAAAAATGGGAAGTGGGTACATATTTTAGTACAAAAGAAGATATCAAGGAAGCAGTTACCTCTTATGCAGTCCAATCTGGAAGAAATTTAAAGTACATCAAAAATGACAAGATAAGGGTTAGGGTTAGGTGTAAGGATGGATGTGAATGGGAAGGTTATTGGGCTAAGTTGGATGTTCAGGATACTTGGCAACTAAGAAAGGTGGTAGACACCCATAGTTGCAGTAGAGAATATAATGTGAAGTTGTTGAAGACTAAATGGCTTAGCAAGAGGTTGCAGAATGCACTTAAAACCAACCCTAGAATGAAGCTTAAGGATATTAAGGAAAAGGTGCAGAAGAAGTGGAATGTGGGGGTCAACAAAACCAAGGCTATAAGGGCTAGGTTTGCAGCAAGAGACATGGTTGATGGGTCATTCTTAGGGGATTATACAAGGATTTATGACTATGCACATGATTTGTTAAGATTTAACCCAGGGTCAACTGTGAAAGTACATGTCCAACCAGCTCAAGAAGGTAGTGGTGTTCAGAAATTATACTTCAAAAGGATTTACATATGCTTGGCAGCTTGTAAGGAAAGCTTCGGGTTAAGTAGACATTTCATAGGGCTTGATGGATGTTTTTTGAAAGGGCTTTGTGGAGGTCAAATCCTGTCAGCCATAGGCAGAGATCCCAATGATCAAATGCTACCAATAGCATATGCAGTAGTGGAGAGTGAAAACAAGGAAAGTTGGACATGGTTCTTGGAGCTGCTTATTGGTGATCTAGGTGGAAGAGAAGAGTGTCTCATATACACTTTTATTTCTGATCAACAAAAGGTATGACTCTATTGTTAATTCTCAATTGATTAGTATTTTTAATAATTAAATTCTCATGTTTATCCTGGTATTCTCATGTTTAATAATTAAATTCTATACATATCATGACCCAGGGATTATTGCCTGCAATGGAGGAACTGCTGCCTACAGTTGAACAAAGATTCTGTGTTAGGCATCTCTACAACAACTTTAGGAAGAGATTTCCAAGAAAAAAACTAAAGGAAATTATATGGAAGGCATCCAAATCAACTTACTATCAAGCTTGGGAAAGAGAGATGAAAGTTATGAAACATATCAATGGAGAAGCATACAAGCACATGATGTCTACCCCTCCAAGGTTTTGGAGCAGATCATACTTCAAGACTCATAACAAATGCGATGCAGTTCTCAATAATATGTCATAATCCTTTAATAGTGTTATTTTGGAGTCAAGGGCCAAGCCATTAATAACCATGGTGGAAGAAATTAGGATATACATGATGGAGAGATGGGCTACAAACAGGATGAGGTTTCAGAAATTGACAGATGTAGAAGTGTTGCCAAACATTATGAAAAAGGTTGAGAAAATAAGTTCATTCACAAACATGTGGCTTCCCAGGTAAAATTATTAAAACAAGCATTTTTTGTGTTAGAATGTCTGACTTTGGAATGTCCATTTGATGTCTTAATTTGGAATGTCCATTTTTTTGTGTTAGGATGTCTGATGAGCATATGTTTGAAGTGAGGCATCTGGAAAATTCTGCTGAAAAATTCACTGTAAACTTGAAGGAAAAAATCTGTTCATGCAGAAGATGGGAGCTAACAGGCCTACCATGTGTTCATTCACTTGCAGCAATCAAGAATAGGAACCATAGGATTGATGAATACATTCCTGATTATTACAGGAAATCTAGATATTTACAAGTGTACAAACCTGTCATATTCCCTGTTAATGGCTCAAACCTATGGGTTAGAACTGAGTACCCTGATGTTATGCCACCCAAATTCAGGAAAATGCCTGGAAGGCCAAAGAAAAGGAGGAATTTAGAGCAAGGTGAGCTAGATGGTACTGATAAAAAGACGAGAAGAACGAGATTCATTATAAAGTGTAGCAGGTGTAAGCAGGTAGGTCACAACAAGCTTACTTGTAAGGTGCCTTCTACTAGTCAGACAACTACTACACAAGTACCACATGCAGCTCAACCATCTGTACCACAAGCACCATCCGTACCACAAGTACCAGTGCCTTCTCAACCATCTCAAGCATCTGTACCAGTGGCATCTCAAGCATCTAAGTCAGTTCCTGGTCAAGCTTCTCAGCCATCTCAATCTAAATCATCCAAAAAGTTGTCAGTTAGAAGGCCAAATGCACCATTTGTCCCACCAGGTCCAACAACGAGGTTAAAGGCATCAATAACTGTTGTAGGTCCAACAACAAGAAGAACAACACCAACTAAAAGAGCAGCACCAAAGTGGAAACTTTAGTTTACTTTTATGTCTGTTTTGGATTAGGATTGGACCTATAGTTGTTATGTTGTTTTGTTAACTTGTAATATTAGAATTGGTTATGTTAAGTTGTTTTGATCATGTAATATCAAGATGTTTTGTTTTTTTTTACCTGTAATATCAGGCTGTTTTGATTGGACCTGTAATATCAGATTCTTTTGTATGCAACTTAGTGGTATCCACCACCTTATAATTATATGTTGTTACCTATCTTCAATTGCTACAGTATGTTACATTGATCAAAATGCTACTAGTTACAGTATGTTACATTATGTTTTACATTGATACAAAAATGCTACTAGTTTTACAGTATGTTACATTGATCAAAATGTTACATTGATACAAAAATTGCTACAGTATGTTTTACAGTATGTTACATTGATCAAAATGCTACTAGTTCAAAAATTCAAGTTGATACAAAAATTCAAATTCATAATGATACCATGTTCAAATTGAGACTGTGTTACATATGATACTCTATTACATATAATCTCAATTCAACAGTCTATTACAACATCATCCAAATTACCACAACTAACATAATAAAGAAGAATCTTTTCCATTTTTTCTGAGAATTCATCATCTTCTTCATTTCAATTTGTAACTCCATTATCTTATGTTTCAGCCCATCCTTCCTTTCCTTTAGATGATGTATCTCCATCTTTGCTCCATCAAGCTCATTTTACAGCTTCTCCAACCTATTATTCTGCTTCTTTATAAACTGATTCTTCTCATCCACCACATCATCAAAGAACCATTGAAAGTATCCACACCCAGATTCAGATGAACCCTGTAATGGTGACATCCAGATTCATCTCAGCTATTGCAGGAACTATCAGAACAAGAATATATGAAAACCCATTTTAATTTCATGCTTACCTTGTAATGACGACAACCCCAGAATTGCTTCCCAAAGTTTGTGACAGTGGTAGCCCTTTGAAGAACCGCAGATTCTCCACAACCACATATAGGTCTCCATCGCAACTTTCCATCTAAGCTTCCATCTCTATTGCAATCGTACGAAGACCGGATCTCTGATGATGCTTCCTTCATCATATTGAGGGAATTACAAATTCAAAATGGGAAAATTGAGATGCAATGTGTGAATCCTAGAATTTGAGGATTTCTGGAAGCAGCTTGAAGATGGTGTACATAACATTCCATGTCACCTGCCACGCATGCAAACCAAACGTCCGTTTGTGCCTTTTGGACGGAAAGGACTCCTATGGTCCTTTTGAAAGAATTATAGGACCAGTTTGATATTTTTTTTAGATAAATGACCAAAATGGACCTTGGGGTAAACTTAAAGGACCAAAAAAGGTATTTTGCCTAATATTATTTGAAATTTTATATTTTTGAAATAATATATATATATATATATATATATATATATATATATATATATATATATATATATATATATATATATATATATATATATATATATATATATATATATATATATATATATATATATATATATATATATATATATATATATATATATAATTAGATGGTCTAATGGTAAGGCACATCGGAGATGAATTATCTTAAATGTAATTTACACTTGATAAAATAAAATAAAGTGCAACCTATTATCGTTAAAAGTTATTCTCTAAAAATTTCAAGTATACCTCGCTTAAGTCTTGACGTTATAACAATATATTTAATTCAAAAATATTTCAACACTTAATTTAATACTTTTGGATGGATGTTACTGGTTTCAACTTGTGCAACTCGAACTCTCGAGCACGCAACTACATTTTGGTGCTTAGTACAATAAAATAGAAAATAATTAAGGAAGAAGAAAGTGAGATTTGTTTTTCTGTGTAAATTAATTTCTATTAATAATTCTATTAAAAACCCTATGGGCGTGGTTATGTGCTCTAGGCCATTTTAGAGTTCACACACGTTTTTATCATAAAAAAGGAAAGAGTTCACACTTAATCATCTATCTTGTCTTAATTTTAAGAGACTAAATCAACTTGATAGTTTATTGAAACATTAGAAACTTATATATATTCAATGTAGTAATTTAAAAACATTATCGTCCTTACAAAATCCATGAATGGGACCGGACCCATCTTTGATTCATTTGTCCATGTCTAAAGTAAGCAGAAGTAGGTGAGGCAACATAAGTGTAAAACCTTGAAACAAAACCAAACATAACAACAACATTAAACTCCACTCAATATAATGTCCATGTTTATCCCATAATATCCCAATCTTGTCACAGTTTTTTTGTCTTTCTCCTTGTCAAAACAATGGATCGAGAAAACCAACATGAACCCATGATGATTTTGCATGATGGTAATGAAGAAAACCAAAATCTAGTAGTAGATGATTTTCCTTTGAAAATAAACACTGTTAAAGATGTGGTTGTAACATCCTCTTCTTCTTCTTCATCTTCATCCTCTTCTTCTTCTTCTTCTTCTGTTACTGTTAGCAATGGTGGTATTGGTGGTGGTCATAGCAATGGAGGTTCTACAGCTGTGAAAGACATGGATGGATCTTCTTTGCAGAAAGAGGAAGAAGAAGTTGAAGAGAAAGGAAAAGTTAGTGATTTTAACAATGGTGATGATGATGATAAAGAAGAAGATTGTGTACCTGTAGCTGAGTTTGTTGGAGAAGAACCAACAAATGGAGAAGCTGTAACTGATGCTACTTTTGGTGTTGATAATATAGTGCAGAATAGTAACAGTGTTTACTTTGACAAACAACAAGGTAAAAGAAAACCACTTTCTTCTTTTTTTTTTTTTTTGATTATTATCATGTACTATAGCATCCTAATTTAGATGATTAACAAAAGATAATGCTCTTTTTGCTTTTTAATTTTTCACGTGTTTGTTTTGTTGATGCATCACTCTCTCTAGTTTAGTGTTGGTTAATTCTTTGTGATAATTGCTGAAGTTCTGATTTTTTTGAGCTTTTTTGTATCAACATTACTTAAACTGGGTCTGTGTAGTTAAAGGACATTATTAGATCCATGGTGGTGCTATGAATGAAAATAAATTACTCTTTATGGATGAAGGAGTGTGGAAATGTCGCCATTGCGCGTGGTCGACAGAGCGATTCAACAGTCTTAAGGGATACTACCCTCACCTGCTGCTGAATGTCAAAATTTTGATTGAACATGGACCTTATTTTGTTTGGGAAACTAAAGGTCAGTGGTTGATGCCAAGATCTCTGAAGCACACACAATTGCTGTTCTGACTGACATAGTTCGATAGCTTTTCAACGAGTTGGATTCTGAAGTTACTTACTTCAGTTGTTAAATTTGTTGGATGATATTGTCACAGTTGATTTTTCTCAGTTAGCTTTAAAATTTAAGCCCTATTTCGAAAAACAGCTTAATTAAGAACTTATAGCATCATTGCTTATCATATAAGTGGAAAAACAGCTTTAATGTTCATGAATCATGCACAATCTTATGTAAAAAGTTGCAACTCAAGTTGAAAATTTTGTTTCATGTTTTCAGGAGATGAAGTGAATGGACTTGAAAGAGATGAAAACGGCGACGCTACATATCACGAGGAGACTAAGTTTTATGTACAAGTGGAAAATTCAGCCATTCAAAGTAGTTTACGCAGCGAACTCAACGAATTTCCTAATGGTTCAGAATCATCCGCTTTACGTAACTCATCTGATATAAAACCCACACCTGCTGTGAATTTTCATGAAGAAACCGAAAAGGAAAGTAACTTTTTAAATGAAACTGATCAGCAAGAGAAGGAGTTTGATGTTGAGCTCGTAATCGCAAAACAAGAGACGCATGATTTGTTTTGTCCTAATTGCAAATCTTGCATTACCAAAAGGGTTATCCTAAAGAAAAGAAAAAGGAACATTCATGTATTAGACAGCAAAGGAAAACGCGATAGGTTAGAACCGATAATTGAAAATAATGTGGTTAATAGTAGTACTGCACGCGAATTCAACCAAGGCGATCATGCAAATGTAATATCTGAAATTACAAACCTGGATCCACTTCCTGCTTCTGCTACTGATGACGATCATGATCGTGATGATGATGATCGTCCGGAGAAAGATGTCGAAGGATTCAGATGTTTGTCATGCTTCAGCATCTTTATTCCTAGTGGTAAGTTGGTTATTTTTTCTATGTCGCGAAGCACAATTTTGTTTTTGATTCTTGCAGTCCTTGCTATATATGAACCTAATGATCTCGTTAATTTTGACAGGAAAAGGTTTCAATCTGTTCCGTAATTTTGGTGGTTCCAGCAAGCATGAAACTTTGCAAAACCCTGCAAGCAGTTTGCAAAATTCATCAAATATACAAGTCTCCAATCCAAATTGGTTCATCTCGTTATTTACTTATAAGAGGAAAACATCTACTGAACAAGGTTTTTTGTTTGTTCTTTTAATAGTTACTACATTGATATTTCTAAGTGAATTCACTTGCATGATGATAAAGTTTATTTAAAAATTTAATGGAGTATTTCAAATTGTGGCCACGCTTTCCATTTCTCTGTATAGCAGGCGAAACTTCCCACGAGCCTTCTAGAACCGGTCCTGTTGAGCAGAATCAGTCGACAGTTACTTCAACTATACTATCGTCCTCGGATACTGGTCGTCCAGAAGGTCCCCTTGCTGTTGCAGATCCGATTAAGAATGAAAAACCGATGCCAGATGTTAATCATGGAAATGGATGGAAGAGTATTGAGCAGGATTTCATAGATTTTTCAGAAAAAGAACAATCGCTGATCAGAAAACCGAGGACCGATAAAGGAGAGAGAAATCAGACTTCAGTGGATACGACAAAAACAAGTATGCTTCTTTAGATTTAAAGATATTAGTTTCATCTGTTTTCTAAAAAACAAATCAAGTAAAATCATACCTATAAATTGAGCATTAGAATTCTAAAACCTGCATAATCGAGTCTCGAGTTTCTTACTGAATTATTCATGTCTACCTTCAAACATGTGTACCAAGGTTATACGAAGATATGAAACTTTTGTGTGCTTATGCATAATGTACATTTTTTATACTATTCTACAATCTATATGATTCATTCATTGATTCATTTTGTTCGATGTGACGATGCTGTCTTCACTATATCACTCTGATGCAGATACTGTCGAAGTAACGTCCTCAATGAACTATTCTAATGGGACAGTATCCGAGTACAAGAGTGTTAACTCGGTAACTACAACTTCTAGTGAAACATTTGTTAGTTCTAGAGAAACTACAAAAGGCACTATTCTGAATCAATATCAAGAGACACCGAAATTTGTCGTTCCTACAAGTGTAACTGTAGGGTCTTTAGTTATTGAGAATTCACCAAAAGATGTTAACAAAACACCTGAAATTGTTAAGAATACTGATTCCTCTTTGTGGCACGGCGGAGCGCAACCACCAGTTCAATCATTTGACAGCACAGGATCCGCAATAGATGCTTTATTTCAATCGAAAACGGATATTTCATTGGTTAATAAAGTGCGGCAGGATTTCAATAATTTTATGCAAGAAAATAAAGGTATGTTCATGAAATGATTATCTTGAGTAAATTTTCTTCTCACATTGTATAATACGCGTAATTTCTATTATCGTGCAGGTGATGTGATTGTTGATGTCGACGGAGAAGCAAATGAGACCACAACATTGCAGACAGAAGATAATGTTCCAGTTGATGGTGCTTTTGTGACAGAACCTCAAACTCAAGTAGGTACTGATAACCAACCTCGAAATGAAATTGTTGAACCAAAAAAGTGGGAAATAGTGAAAAGCATTGTGTATGGTGGTTTAGTTGAGTCAATCACAAGTCTTGGAATCGTGTCATCTGCAGTTAGTTCTGGTGCTGCCCCGTGTAAGTGCTCTCTCTCTCTCTCTAAGAGTGATGATCGGTTAATTTAATCGATACATTTGTTTCATTTTGTTAAGTACTTTTGTGACAAATCTATGTCTTGTGTTTATTGCAGTGAATATTATTGTACTCGGATTCGCAAATCTGATCGGCGGTCTTTTCATCCTTGCTCACAATGTGAGTAGCTTTCCATTTACTAATATCAGTCGTTGATTATTCGAAAAATCTTAGTCAATCATTTTCTTTTGGTCTTTTTCTCCAGCTTAAAGACCTGAAAGACAGCCACGCTAGAGGGCAACAACTGCAATCAAATGCACGAGATAGGTATCAAGAACTACTAGGACAAAGATCAAACTTTGTGTTCCACGCTGTTATAGCAGTTTTCTCGTTCCTGTTATTTGGGTCTGTCCCCCTCATTATCTACGGCGTCTTGATTAATAAGAATTACTACGACGAAGTTAAGCTTGCAATAGTGGCAGCAAGTTCTGTTGCATGCATCATTCTGCTTACTATTGGGAAAGTTTACACTCAAAGACCACCTAAATCATACTTCAAAACTGTGTTATACTTTGTCTCAATGGCACTTGCAGCCTCAGGGTTATCTTACATAGCAGGAGAACTTATCAAGGATCTTATAGATAAGTTCAGCAAATCAGAGTCAGGTTTTGCAATTGCCATGCCTATATCAGACACAAAAACAGCATGGATGTCTTAATGAAAAAAGTTGAGAATAGGAACTTTTGAAGGAGCTTGAGATTTTAGAGGGGTTAGAGAAACTTGGTTAGAAAAAAGTACTTGTAGTAGCAAGCAACCTTTTTGCTTTGATGTTTCATTTCAAGTTTTGTTTTGTTGGATTCTTGTTTTAAATCTTTCTTTCTAGACTCATTTTTCTTCCCATGATAAGAATTCTTCACCTTCACCACTTTCCTTTAACTTATTTTTCCCTAAACAAGTTGTGAGAAATTTTCTTACTTTTCCCTTTTTCTTTCCTCCCAAAGCCATTCCCTACCAACTTTCAAGCAAAGCCTTGATCAATCACATCAACTTTTTTCGATGAGGTAGAAAAGCATACCATGCTATTTTACCAAATAGAGAAATTGGACATGCCAAATCAAGCTTTTAGATGTAAATTAAAACTTACATAAACCCTCCATGTTCAAAAGCATGTGAGTGAATGACCCGTGCACATAAAGCTCGTGACTTGTGCATCCTTACTAATAATTATTGGGTATTGTTAAAGGTGCGCTATGAATTACTACTACACTCTTGTGAAAAATTAAAAATATTTTTTAAATTTTGGAGATACGTATCAGGATGCACCTAAAACATAAGTATTAGTCTTAAGACTATGTTAAAAAATAATTACGGAGACGCATTTTCGTAGAGTTTCAATGTATTGATTTTTCACTTTCTTCTTACGGAGATGTATTTAGGTATGATATTTAATCAAAAGGACGTCATAACCCTTTTTCCTTCTTCACTTCTCATAATACTCCCAAACTCTCCACCTCTCATCTCTCAAAATCTCTCATCTCAAATTCACTCAAAATCATTCAAGTCGCTTCAAATCCTTTTCCATCAACATTAAAATGTTCAAAGAACTCATTCAACATCAAACTTCACTCACATTTAGAAAGTTTTTGATTTTTCATAAGTTTTTGTATTTTCCATCAACATAGGTAGAAATTGAGCATTAGGTTATGTAATAGATAGTTTAAATATGTCACTTACATGAACAATGTGTTTGATAGGTTATTTTTATTGAAAAATACAATATTTTGAATGTTGTGTCAAACTGCATGTCTGCCATTGACGATTTGCTGAGTTGCAGAATCTTACGGAGAAACATCTTCGTAAAGTTGCAATGTATTTCCCAAAAATCAGAAATGCATCTCTAAAATTCATCTTTCTGCATTTTTTTTGCTTTATCTGATATGTTTCATTTGTCTAATGGTTGTGTTTTCCTTTTAGGCATTATGGCTGATAAGCAAAATAGGTTGAGGCATGATAGAGTTGCGCAACATAGAGCATATGTTATAAGAGCATACATGTTGTATTTAATCGACACGTGTATTTTATAGACAAGAGTGTTTATGTGAATGCGGTATACCTGTGATATTTCGAATGGATCCATGAGTACAACTGGGAGATCACTTGTTTGGTCTACTTGTACTCCAAATTAGTCGAAGGATGTATGTGGAAGATCAAACTGATGATAGGAAGTATCACATTGTTAACGATAATATTTCTATATTAACGATAATATTTCTACATCATTTAGTGTCATTTTCATAACATTTTTCTACGTCCATTTCTGCATCTCTTACTAATTATTCGTATGTACCATTTCTAAGTTTGGATTGTCCAGCACTTCTCACACATATCCGGATGGTCATATGAGTCAACCTACACTGAGGATATGTTTCGCGCTTCTGCATTCTTCCTACTAAGATGGAACCAGACGACGGCTCCATACGGAGTGTATCTTGACTGCATGATAGCAGAGAATATACACTTTCGTACATACGTCGATCACTGTAAGACGCGTCCCTTGGACAACATTGTCTTCTACTCTGGATGGTTGACTTGTTGTTCACGTCTGACATATCCCCATCTGCCTAAGCGCTTCATGCGACAGCTCGGCTACACGCAACTTGTTCTTAGAGACCCTTTCCAGTCTGCTCTTTCCGCTATGACACATCGAGATATAGATATCATGTTTGATGATTATCTTGATCATATGATATCGTATGAGGCACGAAGTACCCTAGCTGCTAGTGACTAGAGTGTTGTTCACGACTACATCATGTGATATTTCAAGATGTCACATTCTTATATAATATTAGATGCTCTGAGAGATCTACCTAAGTCAGTTCATCAAGAGATACTTCAGGAGAAGTAGGTTATGACAAATCATATTGTTGGAGATATGGGTATACACAACAAATTATTTCTGGATGGCTTTAAAGTGAGGATCATTATAAATACCATGATGCGAGAGACACTACTAAAGGCAGTGTAGGAACAGGGAGTTGCAGTCTGTTTATTAAGAACACTATTATTTTGACATTATTGTGTACTCTGAATTTAACACTCCCTCAATCCCAAGTTATAAGACATTTTGGAGAAAAAATTTATCTCAAATTATAGATCACTTCACGATTTCAATGCAACATTAATAATGTTTTCCTCAATGATATTATAAACTCAAACATAATTTTTCTTTCTCATTAAAAAATTAATTGATTTTCTTAATTTGTGTGAAAGGTGCAAAACGTCCTATAATTTGGAACGTAATTTAAAACGGAGGTAGTAACTTATGGGATTTTTATTTTCTATTTTATTGTGATTCCCAAAGTGTGGTTTAATTTATAAAAAAAACTTCATATGTCTTATCATGCCACTCCCTCATCTAAACCTGTCTCTAATTATTTCTTATAACATTTTTCAAAAAAATCTATTGTGAAACCTTTCATCAATATAAAAAAATAAAACACATAATGTTGAACAACATGTTCACACTTCTGATTAGCGATTAATTTTGTAGATTAGCACACACATTAGCCACTGATGCAGTAACAATCCATGTGAAAGTGCACATAGATCACTCCACTATATGCCACCAAAAGGTAGCATGCCAAAGAAACAACGGGTGGCGAACAATACTCACCCATATTTGATATATTTCATGTTACAACATAAACATACATATTGCAGGTTACCAGCATTCATTATCACTTCATACATGTTTGTTGCCACCTGCAGATTAAACATGCCTAGGATGCAGGTGACAAGTAAAACAACAATATGATACAAGATCGCATAATGTTACAGCTTCACCAGAAGTTCTCGTAGCAGGGGAGGAGTGAGGACAGGATAATCACAACAACCATGGATGCAAGCCAATAAGAAATGGCAAAGTCAGATAGGATAATCACAACAATTACGCGGAGACAAGCCAATAAGAAATGGCGAAGTCAGACAGGATAATCACAACTACGCGGAGACAAGCCAATAAGAAATGGCAAAGTCAGAACATATTCAACGATACATTAGTTAGACCAGACATGAACCAGACCATGCCTGTTGCCTGTGTAGATCTCGTTGCGGTCTTCATCGTAGAAAAGAGCAGTAATGTCTTCCAAGGCTTCTGTGACTGTGCTCCTTATTCTGGAGGCCTGTTTTCGCTTCCTTGAATTACAGCCACCACTTGGGCAATCATCACTGCAGTTGCATTCCTTTGTAATGGGAAAGCTATTACTTGCTCTTATCTTTGCAAGACACTTGCCAGTTAAAATGTTGCTGACATTGATGGATCCCGCTGCATTAAAAAGGCAGAAGTTGTTAGTAATTTGATACATGCTCTTTTAAAACAAATGATATAATAAATTGATCACAAACACAAGGAAAAATCATAAGATACTCCAGGATTATAAGGTACCATTTCCTTCGGACAAAGACTCATCTGAATCAGCCTTGCAGTATGATATGATGAGATCCTGGTCACTGGTTATATAAATGTTGTTTGTATTGCAGTCAGGATGCCACAGAAGGTGATCCTCAAAAGAAGTTACAAGTTCTCCACGAAAATTCCACACAGCCACAGTTCTATTTCGAAACGTCAGGAATAGTTGGTTCTCATATAAGAATATAAATGCAGATGGCGTCATAAATTCCGTTTTGCTAACTTCTTTAAGCTCAAAAGTACGAACCTAAAGGTAATTAAAGGTAAGATACATGGATGTTGAGCAATGTATATAACCCGTGAAAAATTGGGAGCATTACTTACATCAAGGATTTGGAGGTTTTCATTTTCTTGCTTGACAAGAAGTTTTTCATTGAACTGTTCAATAAAGTCCACCTTACTATTCCGATGAATCAAATGGTTGAATGACTTCAAAACAGTACCATCTTCTATTGAGAGGATTTTTAGTGGGACATGACTGCTTGTTTTAGAATAAATCAACAACATGATCCCCGGACTGATAAAAAAATGAAAAAGAGAAAAGTTGTATAATTAAGGCCATATAAATTAATAACAAATAAAATATAAAATAGGCTATCCATCACACTAAAACATGATGTGATATTCTTAACAAAAATTGTGAATTACCACAAATATGGAAGGTAGTTGCTTGTAGATTGGAAAGTAAATTTCACAAACACAGATAAAGTTACCTGATCTTAATCTCTTGTACATTTTTATCTGCAACGGAGTATAACAATGTATAGTTTTTCAGGTCAAACACCTTGTATATGCTATAGAGGGAAAAAAAAAAGAGAAGTTATCAGTATATCCCCGTCTAAAATTTTGAAATATAAGATTATTAAAATTACATATAAATATCAGAATACAAAAATATTTACCTATCCTGTGCAGAGTACGTCAGTACCTTCCCATTCACATCATCAAACTCTACAAAACCTGGCCATTTCAAAGACTCTGATTCGAAAAGAGCAAACCCGGCATCTGGTTGAACCCTCCTTATATATCTGGAAAACAAAGATATTTTAGCATAGAACAAAACAACACAAAATTGGACAGGCAATTCTTGATATCTACAGCTCTTTACTCTTTCAGTGTCCTGTATCTCTCTTTTGTTGAGTACAGAAAACAACAGCAGGATGTGAGGTATACTTACTCAGTTCTGGTGCTTCTGCATTTCAAAGAACTGTAACTGTCTGAAGCATAGACAGAAACTGTGATAAGTGAGTCGTTGTTTTTATTATAAAACAAACTTCTTATCACTTCATCGGGACTGACATTCAAAAAGCATATCCTTTCATTGGTCTCTGCAGCAAAACAATGGAAATATGTACATATATCATTGAACAGAATATTCTGATAAACCCTCACAAACTATTAAAAAACAAATTATAAATGCCAACAATAACAAGGCTTTAGTACTACCTCGGTTAAACGCTGCACACACGCCAGATTGTGCAAGGGCAAAAACAATGTCCTGAGCCGCTACAATTTCAATAATCTTTGACCTCTTCCTAAAAAACGGCAATACGACGGAAGAAGGGCCTTTTGGATCATATGTATCATATTCTTCCTATAAAATATATCCATCATACATAAGCGAAGGATATGAGCACAGTAAAGCAAAATATTCATCTCATCATAGTGGGATTTCAAATGTCGTATTGCACCTATGACGAATTTGCTACAAAACAAAATAAAAACCACTGAATCCAAAAAAATAAAAAATAAAAACCACTGAATCCAAAAAAATAAAAAATAAAAACCACTGAATGATTTGTGTGGACATCGGTGATAACACGTGTCGGTTTTAATGTCTCTTTCTAACAACAATTCAATCAATCAAATACTTTCAACGCTTCCCTGCTTCCCATTGATGCGGAAGCAAAAAACCCGCACCCATAATTATTCTCTTCCTTACATTAATTATAGAATTTTCCATTCATTCTTACTTAAAAACCGAGGTAGACAAACACCACAATCAAAGTCCAAAACTAGGTTTATCTAAACTCAGTAACACTGATTCACACCTAACCAATCACAGATCTACATCAAACAAGCTTTCTATTCCCAACATCTCATCTGGAAATATAACTCTTTTATGCCAAAGCAAGAATATCAATTGCAATCGCATCGTGATTAAATATACACAAATATTAGTAGTCATGTAGGGTCACAATAATGAATGCCACTGACCCAGAAACCTAAAAAATCATTACAGACCGCAATTTAAAACCAATTGCCAAATTATATCAAGGAACAATCATGTAGCAGACCCAGATTAGTACTTCAACATATACAAAAAAATCATCATATACCGTTAATCTATAACCCAATAGCATTACCCATAAAATATTAACACACAACTCTCTATAACGAAAATAATTCATAATTCAAATTTTGCTAAACAGTCAAACCCTAAATTTTGCTTTATCACAAATATGAAGTCTCCACACTAAACAATCAAACCCTAACCAAAATAAAACAAAATGTTCCATTTTTATGGCAATAACAATAACATATTAATCTAAATTCCACTGATTTGTTAGTTTACCATGCATATGAAATTTATCAAAACAAAAAAAAACTCATAATAGATTTAGGAAAAATACCCACACAAAAAAAAAATGAAATTTTTTGAGAAAAAAAATCCAGAATTGAGTTGAAGAAATGAAACCTGCAATCGAATATTGCGGAATCGTTCTTGAGCATCAGTGATACTAAAACCCCGAATACTTTTAGTACAAATTTCCCGTCTCTGAAGCTTCCTAACACTGTTGATAAACCCATCGCCGGCACCACCACGACCCTGCTTCTTCTTCGCCACCACACGACGGCCACAGCAGGGTCTCGGACTCACAGTAATTCTCCTCCCACCACCTTCCATTTCTCGGCCAACTCCTTCCGGCGAAGGAGCCACCGCTCAAATTTTAACTTCACAAAAACCCTAAAAATTTCAATTTCAATTCTAGTTTTCAAAAATTGGATCTAGCTTTTCAAATTTTTTGGGGGGAGAAAACGAAATTGAAAATGAAAATTCAAAAAAAAAAAAAAATAGAAAAGAAAGAGAGAATCAAAGAGAATGAAAAAAGATGAAACGGAATGCGAAAAATGTGAAGTGTGTAAGAAAATGAAATGTTGTGAAGTGATTTATTTAATAGAGACACTGTTTATTGTTGTTCTTTTGTAATATGATGATGTCATGCTAAGCTAGTTTTTTGGGTTTGGGCCCATGTGTTTTGTGTAGATCATAACCAAGCTTTTTGTAGGAGTATAAGATATGTCAATTTGAAATTGTTTGGATAGACCTATTATGGGTCAAGCTTGATAAGATTGTTGATTTTGATTTCATGATTTGCTTCAATTTCAAGTTAGAAATATGTATGAGTAGGGTTTGTTGTTTTTATGGTAATTTTTTATAAAGGTAATCGTTACAGGTTATTTTATGAAACTTCTCTTAATGATGTTTATTGTTTTGCAAGCCTACTAATAATTTGTATGGACTTGACATAATTCAAAAATTATTTGCATTTATTAGGATTTATAATTTAAAAGAGAAACACATTCTTAAGAATTTAAAGTATTTATTATTAGACCAATTTTTAAGAGTTGAATTTTTTAAAAAATAATTAGCTTTTTCAAAAAGAAAATATCCTAAATAACCACAATTTCAAAACAAATATTAAATCATTTTTTAAATAAAATTTTTTTTGTCACATAAATGAGACGCCACATTGTATCACACACGTACTCAAATTATAGAGGAGGTGGTACATTGTATGGTGCATGCACCTCTGTCATATCATACAGTGCAACACATGTACTATAGCTTTAGGTGCATATCATGCAGTGTGGCTACTCAATTATTTTATTTTTTAAAACTTATTTTAAGAAGAAAAAAAACTAAATAATAAATATAAATAAAAATATATTATAATAATATTATTAGAAAAAATAAATTACACAGCAATTGAATATATTTTTACTAGGAGTGTTTAAATCTAAACGAAATCCAAATAAAAAAATGAAAACCGATCCAAAAAACTGAAAATCCTAAAAAAACCAAAATTTATTGAATATGCTTGGATGTTATTTTTTGAAAATCGATCAATTCATATCGGATTTCAGATTAATTTTTCAAAACAGATCCAAACCAAACCGAATTGCATACATATATTTTTATACTTATTTACTTTTTATTAGTATGATATTTACTATTAGATGATAATAATTTTTTTAATAATATTTATTAGCTTTGTATAATCTATTCATTTTTATTATTTCAACCATAATCGATCACACTCATTTTGTAATATTAACTTTTAATATACTATATGTTATATATTATATCAAATCTATGATTTATTGGTAGTTTTATAATATTAATAAAAATATTATGTGTAATTTGGATATCCAAAAATCGATCCAAATTAAACTGCATAAAATTGGATCGGATTGGATTTTTTTTAATATATCTTCCAAAACTGAACCGAAGCGCAAGCAAATTTATCTTTGGATCAGATGAGTATTTGTCTTAAAACCGATCCAACCCGAACCACGAATACCCCTAATTTTTACCGACCACCTCCACCCAAACGTCCACCGGCAAAACAATAACGCCCATGTATTTGTCTTTGAGATCTCCCTTGATTTTCCTGAGGTGTTTGAGGTCTATTTTGATTCTCTTGAGTCATAGGTGCTTGATGCGATGGTTCCGGGACAACAATCGGATCATACAACTCCTCGACATTTCTTCTCAATTTACGGTGCTTCCAAAAAGTTCATTGTCCATATTGTCGAAGTTGGGTCGTGTTAGTTGGGTTACATGTGGATGGAGTGGTTGGCTGAATTGTGATGTTGAATCGTTTTGGAAACGAAATAATGGTTCTTGTGGTGTTTGAAAGACATGTGATGGTTGGGTGCTTCGGTAGTGTTAGAGTCACGAATGGCAAAGCTCGTCAATCTAACTCTTCAGGTTCAAGAAGATTGAACAGGGGAAGCTGTTTTACCCTAAAATTTACCCTCTCATTTATCAAGATTTTCCTCACAAGACTTCTTGGACTCAAGACAGGATTAGGGTTTGCTCAACTGAAGACCTCACCTTGAACTGATGACCTGAAATTAGGGTTTGAGTTTGCACAAGGAATTTTGGACCATCAATGCTTCATGTGACTTTCATACACCATCTTGGACCCCTAAGATTGCTCATGCTAAGTTTCAAGCCTTGAATCACATTTTTGCCCAGTCAATTGGACAGTTGACCTAAAAATCAACTATATCGGAGGGAAAATCAACCATGGCCAATTTACAGTCAAACTTCATAAATTTTGATCCACAACAATATTATAGGCTCCTATGTACCATTTAATCAAGTTTGGACCACAACTCCTCAAGAAATTTGATCAGATCATCAAAAGGGCAAAATGGTCAAAATTAGGGTTTTGATTGAGAAAGGACAATTTCTGATTTTTAACCTAGCCAATGGCCAATTGGGTTCAAGCATGATTTCAAGGACTCAATGGCATCATCTTGACCTAATTACATAGTTTAAAAGATCTCAAATGCATCGGATTGACAGATGAATTTTGCAGTCAACTGATCAAAAGTCAACTGTACACTAAAAAGTCAAACTTTGACTTTTTGGTCAAAATCAAGTGCCAAGGGTCATAATTCATCAAGATATGTCAAAATATTAAACTTGTTGATCAATAAAATCAATTTTGCAAATTAGGGTTTTAATTTGAAATTTTTCATAACTTAGAATTTTTCTAAGTTATGGAAAATTTCTTGTTTTTTCCCAACTTTTCCCAACTTTTTCACCATGATGCAATTGGATTCAAAGAAAACTTCCAACATGAAAGTTGTATTCCTCCATGAAATCTACAACTTTTATTCACAAAGTTTTCCCAAAAGATGATTGGATCTCAAGTTATCATTTTGTGAATAGGGGTCCATAAACTTTTTAACTTAGTGAAATTTTGCCCTAGTTTAGGCAGGTTTTTGACCTAACTTCATGGAAACTTTTCACCTAGTTCCAAGAGGTATCTCAAGTTACATTTCAAATATGGATTGTAGAACATGTTACAATCTTTCCAAAATGTCCAAGAACTCTCCAAGATCATTTATGGTTAAGGAGAATCGAAGAAGAGAAAATGGCAATTTGTCACTTTTATTCAAGCCATGTTTACAATGCTTCAAGTTGAAAATCAGTTCCTAGCATGCTTGTACCTTGCATTACAGGTCCTAAATAACTTCTACACTCCATAATTTAATGTTAACTCAGTGGTTAAAGCCTTTGTTTTCACTTTTGAAGCATTGCACAATGAATTAATCCATAAATGGCATAAAATTCACAATACCATTTTGATAAAGCATGTTTTTGCAAACTTTACAATTCTTGAGCCATGGACCTGATCTTTTGTTACAAGCAAGATCCAAAAACATCAGGCAAAGTATACCAACCCTCTACAGTCCACAAGCTAGCCTGTACAGGCCTTTGGCATAAGTCATGTCAACTTTCTTCAAAAGCAAGCTAATTGGCAAAAGTCAAGATAACTTGTCCATCTGATAAAGGCAAGGATTGGCTTCATTCTAAACATCTTCAGAAACTTGTTACAAGCCTAAGCACGAATTCATAGCATTCAAAACCTTCCCAAACATAGAAAACACATTTTTCTGCCCAAATAGGGCATCTTCTGCAGAACCCTTGCCAAATCAATATTGGCTCGTGCGTTTCTCATTTTAAGACTTCAAACACATTACATACATCCTACCTAAACTATCCAGGCCCTTGTCTTGCAACTGTAACCCCTATTTCAAATATCACCATTTTCATTTTGGAAGGTTGCAGGTTGACTTCTACAGGGAGATTCAAGCATCTACAAGGCCAGCTAAGCATTGGAAAAGCTTGAGGGAACTTCAAGGAAGCTCACACGATCTTCAGGCCTCACTCAAAGTCCCCACATTGCCATATCCAAACTCAGTTGAACCAGGTATTTTTCAAAGTTATATCTCTCTATTTAGGAATCCTTAAGCTTTGATTTGTGAAGCAAAAATGTAGTCATTAACTTGCTAAAGTTGTACATATGCATAGTTGTCATTTATATTAACTGAGCTAAGAGTATTTGATTGTTGAACATGCTGAAAAAATTAGGCCAGGAATTAGGGCCACTGAAATTCTCCCTGGTCTTTTAGAGTTAGGTCATGAATTTTATATCACTGGAATCGTGAGATCATAAGCTACATTTTTTGTGTTATGAGTTTTTGATTTTATGCAAGCTATAGCAAGTTACAGATTCAAGCTCAGAAACCCGCGCGAAGCCAAGGATAGGGATGAAGATGGTGTTCTGGGCCTGGCACCTTGGGCCTGTTGTTTTTCACACCCCCATGTTTCCTATTTGCACCCCCTTTACATATTTTTATATTTTGCATATTTTTTCATTTCTTTTATGTTTATTGACTTTAATATTTTTTTCTGAACATTAAAAAATCCCAAAAATATTTTCTTAATTTTTTGCATTTTATTTTATTTTTTTATTTTATTTTCTGCAAAAAATATTGATTATTCAAATAAATATACTTTATTTTCTTAAATAAATTGTGAATATATTTAAATAAATACTATACATTTTTATTTTTATTATTCATACACATAAAATATTATTTCCATATATATTTTAATTTTTAATACTTGTAAATAATTTTATTTATTATTTCTTGTAAAAAATGGGCAAATAAATAATAGAAAACATAATTTTCTTTTAAACCAAAAAATTAGGGTTTCCCCTTTCAAAAATAATAATATTATTTTTTCTTATTTTGAGGACTTAAATAATTTATTTTTATCATATATAAAATAAATACAAAAAACATTTTGCATGCATACAT